TGTGAGCTAGACTGATGCCATGGGCACTCTAGCCTGGGCAACAGAGTGAGACTCTGTCTCAAAAAAAAAATATTCAGAGATCAAAAGTATGATACAGGCAAGCAAATCCCTACACACTGTTCATCACGAGTCATTTTTTTCTGGAAGGTAAATTTTTCTCCTCATGTCTTCTTTAGCAAATTGTGAAAGAATCTGCTGTGGGTTCTACATTTTTGTCAAAGTGTGTCACAGACTTAACGATATAAGAAACAATGGTAATCTTGAATGCTTTATGGAATTCTCCACTTCATTCGAGTAAGAATCCATTGAATACTACAAAAAAATACAAAGTCCATTATTCCTAATGATAATAAACAACAGGTTTTACCTAATTCTTAACCCTGAGCAAAATATATTGAGGAAGACTTTCTGGGAGGACTAGGAAATGAAAGCAGGAAACAGACTCAACACGAGTTGAATAAAAACTCCACAAAAGTTATTAGTTTCATGGCCTAGATGCTTGCATTTGCTTGGTCACTTTGGGAAGGTGTCACATCCTGAGTACTTAAAGATGTCTCCAGCAGCCTAAAGTGTTCATGTAGGGCTGGAAGTGACCGGAGCATGTTATACATCCTTACACGCAGCCTCAGCGAGGTCATTGAAAGCAGTGGCTTCACTCTCCCTGTGGACAAGGACAGTGACTTCAACACTTCAGAAGCTTTGCTTCGGAAGATTTTTGTTCTAAGAGTGTAGAGAATAAAAATTTGCGATCCCTGCAGATAGAATAAAAGTTTAAAATTAGGTAAGTGCTGAGATACAGTATCAAGGGAGAGATTTTATTTCACCCTGACACCCATCCTTCTTATTGTACACAGCACCTCCCCAATTTGTGTTGGCCAGTCTGCAGCTGCCGTGCACTTTTTAATCTAAGACAGTGAGGCAAAGTGTTTCCATTATACAAAGCACTACATGTGACAATACGGTAGTAGATTTAGAAGACCTGAATTCAGATCCCAGCTTGCCACTTGCAAGCTAGCTGTATAATTTTGCTCATGTCCTAATCTCCATAATCTTTAATTTCCTGAAAGAGGCATATTAACCATGGAATACCTAATTCTTATTCCAGTTCTAACATTCTGTGATTCCACATTTCTTGGAGTTTTTATAACACAACTGGAAATTTGGTGCACTTAAGGACAAAAAAAAAAAAATTAAAGCCCTCTAATTCACTGTTTTTGTGTACTTTACGTATGAAGATCAGATGTGCATGATGAATTGGGCCATGAAAGGCTGAGTAACATTTTCTTCATGCTTTAAATAAAAATTGCCATTTATTGAAATCATATTGGTACCAGACACTTGCATTTCATTTATTTCTCATTTCATCCTTCTCATTTAATCCTCACATCAACCCTATACAATAAGCTTTACCAATTCCTATGTTACAGATAAGGAAACTAAAGTTCAAATAAATTCACTAACTTGCCCAAGATTACTCAACCAATAATCAGTAGAGTTTAGAATTGAACTTTAAATCTTTGGTTCCAAAACTCCTCTTTTATCCAATATAGGATGCTGCCTATTGCTTGTAACTGTAATAGAAAGATACTTTAAAGTGTGTCACAGCTTCCAAAATACCTCTGTTCATTCTTCATTAATATCCTTTGTGGAAATAACAGATTAAATACCATCTGTAGCTAAGTTGATAATATTGTACCAATGTCAATTTCTTAATTTTGACAATGTACTATGGGTTATACAAGATATTATCATTGGGGAAAGCTAGACAAAGAATACGTGGGAACTGTATTATTTTTCCAAATTTTTGAATTAAACTATTTCAAAATAAAAAGTTATTAAAAAAATACCCATGATATTTCCCAGATTGGCATCTACAGAATCATATCCTGTGAATGCTGTTATAGGAGACTTCTGGTGCTATGGTAAGATAGCCCAAAGACTCTGATAATGTGACTAATAAAATCAATACATATTGGAAAGAGATAGACTAGTTCTTTGGCCAAAGTAGGAACAGTAACTTGATTGTTACCCAGCAGGTGGTATCAAACTCATCAGAAGAAAGGCCCTATGACACAGGGAATGTGCTTGAGAACACATGTTTCAGGACAGAAGTGGTCACTAGCCATCCTGATTGTTCAAGGGAGAGAAATTTATTAGGGCACATGAGAAGTCTGACCCCTAGAAAAGCATCATTTTCTGTGGGGTATACTATTTTACATGAGTTTTCCAGAATTTAAATTCTAAGGCAAAAACAAGATTGGATCAAATTTCTGGTTGTACAATAATTAGGAAAAGATCCTAGACCATGGAGTATTCATGATACCATCCTGTGGGACTCACTCTGTGTGGACTCCCAATATTTCTTCGTTCCCTAAAATCCCAAAGATGGTTATTTGAAAAAAAATATGTGGATTAAACTGGTTACCACTAACATAAAGATCAAATTGTGCCTTTTAAGTAATATCTGTAGCAGTTAGTAAATGTGTATTAGAATTATAGCATTCCAAATCTAGAAGGAGCCTTACATGTGAGCTAATATAGTTATTCCTATACTTTAGTGTACATAAAAATCACCTAGAGTCTTTGTTTAAAGTGGGGATTCCCAGCTCTTATTATGTATTATTAGATTCTGATTGAGTAGGTAAGGAGTGAGTCCCAGGACTCACCATTTTCACATACTATGTAATTTCTTTGATATAGGCAATATTCATATCCATTTTGAGAAACAATGTGTTGATTTTAACACACATAGCCCCCCATGCACGCGTGCGCACGCGCGCGCGCGCACACACACACACACACACACACACACACACACTTTACATTTACATGCCTCACCCACAGAGGCTGTGTGACTTTCCTAAAAATCACAGGAATCATTAATGGTGAAGCTTGAAAATAGCCTAAATTTCCTTTTAGTCAAATGCTCTTGCCATATCGCCACCCTCAATTTTACCATGTGGTACCAACATTTTGTAACAAACCTCTCTTTTGTAATGTGTCTCTCATATACACAAAGGGGAGAATACCCTTGACTATGCTTTCTTTGGGATTCTTCCCTAAATTCCTGCTCACTCAAGGCATACAAGCCCATGGATCAATTGGCAATCCCAAATTAAGTTTACCCTGTTTATTGCCTTTATAGAAAGTCGCCACTAGGTGTTGACAACAGGAAAGAACTGCCTTATATCCATTCAAATTTAGTGGTAGGCATGCATCCATTACCTAAGGGAGTTAGCCCTAAAAGGCTCTGGAGAGGGCTACCTGGGATGAAGGGTGAGGTTCTTAGAGACATTCAAACTGGTGGAAGCAATTCAGACAGCCAAGCAGCTCTTCATACTGTGATACATAGGGTCTGATCAAGTGCTCTTTCCAGTGATTCCATTTTGTATCAAAGACTTCCTTCCTCAATGACATTTGACCATAGCCAGAAACAACCAACATAACACCATCTTCACACACAGTAGTTACTACTCTCAGCAACTTAATGGGATAAATATCAAACACTGCCGTTTCTTCATGGAATATTAGAGAACTATGTAGATCATCCTGATATTGAGCAAGATGTTATCTACTGTGAAAGATATGTACAAGCATGTCTCTTGCATTCAGAGGCCTGATATTCTAGTGGAGGAGACTAGTATGCATAAAAAATTAATCTTAGAGTACAAAAAGGAACAAATAAATTTATAAAATTAC